TCACATAAAAGAGTAAGAATTAAAAAGATCCTGCCTATTCGGATATAATACTCCTCACATAAAAGAATAAGAATTAAAAAGATCCTGAAAGAAAAGAAAAGAAAAAAAAGAGAACATGTGGGGAGAAACATGAGGATTAGGATATAATTAAAAATTGATTTCACTTGTTTCTTTCTAAGAAAAAAAACATAAGATCAATCCTAAGCTTAATTTCAGAAAGTATTAGAAAAAATATTTTTTAGAATTCTTAAATTCTGAAATTAATATTTTTTTAAGAATCCAAAGTTTGGAAAAAATTCAATTATTTCTAAATTAAATAGAAAATTAGGATTCTTAAGGGTAATACTAAACATTCTAATACTTTAGATATCATCTAATTTATTGGATATTCTTCTAAGTTTGACTATAACATTTCTAAAACAAAATTTTAGATCATCTTAAAGAAACTCACTAACATGAATCAACATATTTTTAAAGTTGTGATGTCACTTGAGGACAAGTAAAATTTAAGTTTGGAGGAATTGACAGACTTAAAAATTAGTTATTTTTTATATACATTTTAGGCTCTTTTTTAATAATATTGTGCTTTATTGGAAGGTATTCTGCATGTTTTTTTATGGTACAAGAGATGGAGGTTTGGATAAAATGGAGCAAAAATGAGGCAATTTGAAGACAATTTGAGCAAGGGGCAAAAATGACATGGCGCCTAGGTGCGAGAAACAATTTTCTTCTAGAAAATGACCCTTGGGGAATTTTATGGGTTATTTTAAGAGAGTCTTTTGGAGCCAAATGGTTGGGGGTGGGGGGGGGGGGGGGGGGGGGTTTGGGGGAACAGAAGAAGGCAGGAGGCGTGAGAGTGTGTGTGTGTTGTGTGGTGTCCTTTGGAGTGTTGGTGACTTTTAGGATTTTGGAAGAAGTGTAAGAGATTGTTGTTTGCTGTGCAAGGAGGACATGAAATCTTCTGTAAATATAAGTCTTGGACGCTTTTTGGGTTTGCTTTGAATTATTGCAATATAGTTATTTGATTTCAATATCATTTGCAATGAATAATCCAAGTATTTTCTCCATGCTTAGTGAGTTTTTTTTCATTACTCTTTCTCTGTGTGATGAGATTTAATCATGCGTAGGAATTTACTTGTTTAAGATCTCTCTTATTTCATACTTGTGATGCTTTATTACTTCTACTTTATTTACATATTCAATCAGATCAATTGATATGTATAAATTTGTTATGAATCAATAATGACTCGGGAAGCTATATATTCCTCAACTAGTAAGAATCACATTAATTTCATGGGTGATAAGTTAATCCATGGGTTAGTGCAAATAGATAGGGAGATAAATTTGGCGTAGAATTGATGTTTCTAGGGTGACAGACTAGATTCTGTCAGTTTGGTCCATAGTTTGGAACCTTAGGACCAGTTAGTCCTATAGAGAGGGCATAGTGGGTAATCTAGAAGTGAGAGACTAGCACCTACCTAGCATAACCTGAGAGAATTTGGAACCTTACTTTAGATTAGGAAATGTTCTTTCTGAACTCGGGAGATGGTAAAGAATACGATTTCTCCTATTTGACACAAAATTATATTTAACTTTTAAACATTTGATTCTTACACTGATTATGATCTCATTACAAGGGGAAAGAGATTTTGATTATATAAGAATTTTCCAAAATTCATCTAGCCTCCTTAAATTAGGTTCTTATTTAATTTAGTAACTTTAATTTTAGAGTAAATTAGTGAATTTAGCAAAATCAAACTTTTCAAAAAATCCAAACTAAGACCTGATGGTAGTATACTAGAACTTAAGGGATTTCTTTAAGGGATTTCTTACCTCGCTTCCTCATGGGATCGATATTGGGATTTTTAAAGAAAACCCTATATTACTTAAAATGATACATATATTTGCATAGAACCTCTAGTGTGTTAAATATAAATCAAATTCTAAATTCTATAACATATCCATTTTGCACACGTGCCACCTACAGAAACCGGGTCAAGTTTTTTGCCAGGAAACTAAATAACTGCTTAATTGTGGGTTGGGTCAACTACCTATGATCACTCAACCCATAATCTCTCTCTTAAAGTCTTTAGCTAACTCATCTCAAGTCATCAATGCTAGTTTTTTTTTTCTTGAACGCCCAAGGGGTTTTGCTTTAATGAATTCTCATTAAGAGGAATGCTAACAAGTTTTCATATCTCCAAGAAACTTTATAAAAGGCCTAAGCTCAATCTAGCCTTGGTTGTCCGATTAGTTTGAAAGATTAACTTGCCATTAATACAATTAATGTTATGTTAATCCTAGGTTATTTTTTTTGTTTAATTATGTTAAATTAAGTCCTAAATACATGTAAGTTGAACTTATTAGTGCCAAGCTAATATAAGCAAGCCACACAACTTAATTTAATTATTTTTATAAAAAAATTGATTTTATTCCAACAAATGCGGTTCATGGAGTCATATTATGGTTCATTGGGAGTCAACTATTCCATGCGTTTTGAATCTAAGTCAATCAATTATAATTTGATTTGATTATGCAATGCAATGAGATAGGTTGAACTATTGACCATGGACAGGTCTAGCGGTCACCTAAGCTAGCGTAGGTATGGTCACTAGATAAGGTTGACTTGACTGGGCTATATAGTTGGTTATAGTTAACTAGATAAAACTAGTATAAGTTTAGTCAACTCTGAGTCAATTGCTAGTCATTGATGGGCCCAATACTAGTTTATGATGTAATCAGTCTTAAATGACACACTAGGGTGGTCTATACTTACCAGGTAAGTCAACGCAGTTCGACTAAAGTTAAACCTTTGGCATCATAGAGTGTACAAAGCAATAATACAAGATGCATTAGTCTACTTGACATAATTTGAATTCACTAAAGTGCTCTAAGAGACAATCTAGCTTGCCTAGGGCCTACGCCCGATAGTACTTGGTTCAAGAAGCCACCAAGCAAATTTTTAGGCTACCATGTATCTGGTTGACCTAACATTAATTAGGCTTTTAGTAGGTTCGAGGGGTGCATTAGGATCATAAAGTTTATATATACAAATTAAGTATCAGGCATGTATTAGTTTTGAAGCAAGCATCAAGAAATGTACCAAAACATCAATTGATCAATTTGAAAATAGTTTTGTGTTTTGCTAAGAAAAATCTAAACTAGACTACAGGACAAGCAATCAATGCTTTTGACGTGGCATTTTATTCCACATATCTGGATGGAGACAAAACTTGTCCCATCTCAAATCATACATCTCCTTACAATATCAAAGCATTTTTCTATCAATCAATGTAAATATTTCCTCTCTCCCTATTTGAACTCCTATACCAACACATATAATTCTACACAAATACATGTGATGGCGGACCCTTTTTTGCACTCATCACAAATGAAATGCATATTTCGAAAGAAAATTTGTCTTCTACTTTACAGGTAAGAAAAAAAATTTTTTTTTGGCTGCCCAATGCACAAGGAATCTACAGGAAAGCAGGCTCTGTATAGCAGGCCAGAGAACAATGGCACTAGATCGCATAATGCCCGGACTTGTCTTAAGCTTTTCACCTTTTACCCTTCTCGAAGATGAATAGTACAATTCCCTCAGTAAGTACTCTGGTGATAGAGTAACAGAAGTTCTGTAAAATTTTCTGTAAGATTTACATATAAAACACTCAACCCTTATGTATTTTTGTTAGGAACATGGTTATATTTTCTCATATTTGACAGGAAATTAAATTTGATTCTCGAAAATAATTACTAAATTAATTGTCATGTTAGGAACATGGTACCGTTGATATTTTCTCATATTTGACAGGAAATTAGATTTGATTCTCGAAAATAATTACTAAATTAATTGTCTTTAATTCATTTTATGATTTGTTGCAGAAGAGAAAATGAAATAAGTAGTTTTATTAATTATTTGATTAATTTCTTAATAGGTCTAATGAAATGGTGGAATTAATAAATAGAGATGCTAGCTCTCCTTATTATCCCCCTTCGGCATTGGTAGTTTTTCAGGTTCTTCTTCTGGTGTGCTTCGATTTGAAGTTCTCATGTAGAGAGAGAGAGAAGCAGAGGAGGAGAGGAGAGAGAAAGAGTGTTTTTTTTGTAATCGTCGAGGTGATCAACATGAGTAATCCTTGAGTAATAAAATCATCTGCAGCTTCGTGGACGTATACAAGTAAAGCGTAAAATTTAAATGTTAGATATGTAAACACATAAAAAATTGGTGGTATGCATGCAGATGGCCAAAATATTTTTCTTCTAAATATTTGAACCAGCGCTAGTTTTCTCATTCATTCCCAACAAAAATGTTTTTTTTTTTTTTAAATAAAACTGGTTGAGAAAGGTTAAGAGCAACTAATTTACTAATAATATTTAAAGTAATTAATATTGCCCAAAAAATACATAATAAAAAAGTCTCCAAATTAAGTGAAATTAAAGCCGAGCCAATAGAGGACTCCAGGCAATCAGAAATTTAAATTGTTAAACATCATTCAATTCTCTAATTTAAATTCATGAATTACTAGAATCTGTCACATTGAAATATATTTTTTTCCCAAATCTAAATAGGATTTCTTTGAGTGAGAGAGGAGAGAAATATTTAGGTACGAAAACACAAACAGAATTAGATGCAGAAGAAGGTTATTCAGAAGTTATTGGAGGGTTATATTGTGTTATTGGGGGTATAACCTTACTATAACCCCCCAATAACCTACAAATAAGCTTTGGGGTTTGTTTTCCTATATTTGTAGGTTACTTTATATATTTATAGGTAACTTGGAGGTTATTATGAGATTATAGTGAGGTTATATCTCCGATAACACGAATATAACCCTAGTAACTTATTTTAGGCACCCAATTCTGGGTGTGTTCGTGAGAGAGAGAGAGAGAGAGAGAGAGACGAGGGAGAAGGAACAACATGGAATCGTCCACGACTTCTTCCAAAAAAAAAAAAAAAAAAACATTTATCTTAAAACAATTTCATTCTAACAAGTCTATTTTCTAGATGAGCCTGCAACCAGTCAGGCACCATGGAAACAAATATAAATACATATAGGTATACATATTTATGAATTCTCATGGCCATAACAAAACCTTTGCAATCTCCTAAACAAAACCATTCCTTACTTAGATTAAAACCCCTTCTCTTCTCCAACCTTCCATCTTCCATTAATCCGATTCATCTCATCTGTGGCAAACGCAGCGGTACCGATACGCACTGTTCATGGGATCATTGGTGTCCACAGGAACTTGTTCGGCTTGGCATTTAAATCTGCAGCCTCTGCACTCGTTGTACGTGCAATGTGGCGCCATGGAACCAATCATCAATCTTCTTTCAGTGCCGCCTCTCTTCTCCTTCAGTCTCAAACTGTCTCGTATTTGTGCCTGTATTGTGCTTTTCTTATGCTGTATGAAATAAGGCATTATAACGCAAAAGGAATATTTTTTATTATACAAAATTCATTTTTTAAAATACCTTCGCTTGGATGCCATTGTTGATTGCTGAGGAGTTTGAGGATGAAACAAGATCTGCAAAGGAGGAAAAAAAAGAACTTAATAAAGCTGATGGGAAATCTTATAAAGAGGATTTGAATGGGAGGATGGGTGGAAGAGGAGACCGGAGGAGGATAGGAGGAGGAAGAGGAAGAGGAAGGAGGAGAGGGAGGATGGGGTTTTAATGGTCATGGCTTCAAGTGGAATGGAGAGGAAGATAGGAAATGAGAGGTGGAATGTGGAGAAAAGAGAAGGGAATATATAGAGGTCGAGGAAATGGGAGTGGGGAGGAGTTGGGTCCAGGCTACATCTATTTGATTTAAATGGCCATCAATAATTTTATATGCATTTCTATTCTCTTGTCTGTAGAATTGAATTTTACTGTTTACTATTTATTTCGTACTTTGTTTCAGTGTAATTATTCATTATTTGGATTTTTTTTATTGGATGGAAATTAAAATTAATAAGGAATTGTAGAAACATATTTTGAGGAAAGTTAGTTTTTGAGCCAATTCAATTTATGTATTTGATTGGAATTGTTGTTATTTTGAGTTTGAGATATAGTACTTATTTATAGGGGTGTAAACTAGCTGAACACGGGCAAGCCCAGGCTCAACTCGTGTTCGGCTCGTTTATATTTATGTGTTCGTATTCGGGTCATTCACTTAGCGAGCCGAACATGAGTCATTCACTAACAAAGAGTTGTTTTGACAACCCTAATCACATAGCCATGAGATTTTAAGAGATTGAGCAAGATTTAAAAATTATTGTTTATATTTAAACATCATTTGAATCTAGTTTAATAATTGAACTTAATAATTTTTATTCTATTCTTTTAATTAATCTTTTAATAAATCTTTTTAGCCTTGTAGTCAATTAATTTTTTTAAAAATACTACTCATCAGTATATATATATATAATTTTTTTATAATTGATGAGTAGTATTTCAAGTCAAAATGAGCCAAACACGAATGAACAAATTTTTGTTCGTGTTCGGCTCGTTAACTTAGCGAACGAGCCGAACACAAGTTGTTCACAAATAACGAACCGTTTTGACAGCCCTACGTATTTAGTTGAAGGTATTTGAGGAATTTGTAGAATTTAAAATTTGTACTCACTTAAATTGTATATCGAATTAGTACGTTGGTTTCGCTCATTATGCTTTTAATTAGAATTAAAAAAAAAATATTGTAGACTTTGACTACTAGATTCATGAGCTTGCAACCATAGAAGTTGTTGTCGGTTTAATTACAATATATGGGTATCAGTCACTAACATTTAGGTTTTTTGAATATCACATGTTCAAATTGGATTATATTTTTATCATTGATGATCGTCATTTTGATTTGGGTTTATCATTCAAAGACATGCTCAAGCTTGTTTAATTTAAAAAAATCGCTGCAATCAGATGTATCGCAACCGTTATCTGAACGGCACTCCGTGCGAACAACATATGAAAAAATTTCTCCAACTTAACACAGTTGAGTGTGGCTG